GGTTTTAAACCACATAAAAGTTTTCTCAAAATAATGACCTAAAATGGCCATAAAACGTCATCAACAGCATTTGCTATTAGTAGAATTCTTTAGTTTATTTGAAAAAATGTCAAACTTCATATATTTTCTAGCGTAGTAGTAAAATGTCCTGAGCGTAAAGAAACTCTAATTTACCGGAACACACCGATAACGCTTTGTTGCGACACAATTTCCTGCCTTTTGAAGCTGGTAATCCAATACTAATTCGACAGTAAAATTTTCACTTAATAAAATGGCATATCTATTCTCTTTCGCTTCGCTCGGCCAATAGAAAACATTTGTATTTTAAGTAAGAGACACAATACGACAATCAGTTTATTCACAAGAAACTGAGACACGCTGCGTACAGGTTATGAGAGATCTGAGAAGCAGTAAAAAATACTTAATGAAACCATAAAAGCCAGAGAATAAACGCAAAAATATCAGACGCTATTTTACATAACGATAATTTTAATAAGGGAGACAGCCTTGAGTAAACTGATCGGCATCAGGTAGAGAAAGATAAGCTAGGTAGATAGGTAATCTTTAAGTGGTGTGATATTCAAAAGGGGTGGTTTTTGAAGGTCTGATTATCCCAATGGAAAATATATACAATACAAGCTAATTTAACAACTAAAAGAAAAATATTATCGATTGGTTTACAGCTTGCAGCTGTGTTGGATTCTCTTAGTTCCTTGGTTGTGCTGTGGAGATTTTCCGTAAGAGAGAGTCAAGAGACAAATTCGTTTGAACGAGAAAGAAGGTTGGTACTTGTTAAAAACTTAAGGAACTCGTGGCCAGAGTTTAAAATATATATAAAACCGAGAAGACACTGGGTCGAGGTTGTATTCAACTGATCTCGTACCAAGATCTCACTCTGATTGACGTTTTTCCGTGGGAGGCTAGATCTGAGTTGTATATTAACTGGTTTAAATTTGACATCATCAAAATTGAAAACTCAACAGCTAATGCCAGAAAGCTGTTCTTTTTTTCAAATTCCTTGAATCGGTGAACTACAGATATCTTTATTTGTTTCATATCGATAAAGTGTTTGAGAAAGGTCATTTTTTTTTCAGCGCAACGACTTTAACCGAGCTTACTTGACAGTTTTTAACCAATCACAGCATGACTGTAAAAGAAAGCCTTTGATTTTGTTTGTGATCTCACCAACATATCCTAGCAGGGCGATTGCTATCCGCTGGTACAAACCACAGTAAAAGCCATTACTCGCATTTCGGATGGTTTTTGGGCTTTTTCTAAATGTTCTCTTTTTTTCATGATTTTCAGGGCATGTATAGCAATCGCAACCTGTTTTATCATTTCAGCCTTTGCTATAGTGGCTAAAGCACTGTATACGTTAGTAGTGGACAGTAAACCAAGTAAGGTATGAACTATGTTAACGAGTCCGGAACCTCTACAATCTATCTAGAGGAATAAGGAGGTATTATTGTCTTGATGTAAAACGAAGTTATCAAGGTCGACACACACTAGGGGATGTGTTGCAGCGACAATTTACCTCAAGTAACATGCCTATTTTTGCTGCGAAAAATGTATGACAGTCAGTAACAAGAGTTAAGTTTTCCATCAGCAAGCAAGAGCAAAAGCTGAACAATGATCTCACGTTATATTAGTATTTATACGACTTGTGTGACGCAGCGACGGAGGTAGGGTAGGAGGTGAGTAGCAAGGGCGATTTCGGATTCCGTGTCAGAGTCTATGCTGTATTCTCGGGAAACATTTGACTCCCAAAGTGCCTCTCCACCCCACCCCCACACCCCTTTCCCCNCTTACGGAGCGAAATTAATTTTTGTAACAAGAAATTCCGTCTTGACATGTTCCGATTTTGTTCTTTATTTTTTCAGCTATAAACTCCTTAGCTGGAGCACTGATGACTCTTGGTATGATTGCCAGTGATGTGGTTTGTGATAAAACCCCGAAAATCTGCTATCTGGATTCAGCCACAGCGCTTCTCATAGCTACAGCGCTCTTCGCGTACGGAGCCATGTAAGATGAACAAGCGTTCTCGTCATAAAATCATGTAACCCACCTACCTTTTCATTTTCGTACGGTTTCATTGGCTAAAATGGTGCCAAAATCACGCACCAGTAGCTGTTATTACAGTTATCAGCGGTTTGACGTGCAAACGAGGCGAAAGGGTCAATTCTGCTTTGTATTGACCCTTTCGCCTCGTTTGTATGCCTTTTTAAACAAAAGAATATTTGACCGCAGGCTCAACTGTAATATCAGCTATTATTGATAGGAATATTAGAAACCAGGAAATTACCAGTCGGACCTCGTTAATCCGGTCACCAGCGGGCCACAAAAATCTAGCCATATTAACGGGGTGGCCGTATTAAATTAAAGAGGGTCTTTGAATAAGAAAATGACTGACTGAGCTTTTATTCGGGTCACAATAAGGTGGCCGTAATAACGAGGTGACCGTATTAGCGGGGTGGCCGTAAGGCGGGGTTCCACTGTATATTTTTAAAATTTAGTGAAGCTAATCGAGAATACTGTTCTAGCGAGACCTCGTTTTCTTTTTAACTCTGAGGCATGAAACCAGGGGTTTCATTAATGTTCTCAGCAGGAGGGTAACTGGTTTTCATAGGTGGGGAACTTTCCCTACATGGTCCGGCAAACCAGGAGGGCAAAATCATCTTCAGAGCCAGTCAATTTGGCGGGTGCCCAGACCTTAATGAAACCTCTAATAACTAGTTAGTGCATATCTCGCTTTTTGTCAGGTCTGGAGTTTGATAAGACAAGTGGTGTTGTGTACATAGTGTTAAACAGTCTAAGGTACATTTACACAAGCTTGATGTTGATGTTTCAGTCATTTCGCGTAGCCTTGGTCAAATTTGCTCTCGATCCGGTCTAGCAAGTGTCAAATTAAATCAGTCAAGGAATTCTCACTCACTTTTCTATCGTTTTCTTTCTTTAGGACCATTTTAGAGCTGGCAATCAACAAAGACAAGGAATCACCGCATGATTGAACTATTATTTGATAAACACTTGCAGACGTAGCAAGGGGGGAAAGTCTGGGTCAAAATTCGGCCAATAGAAAAAGCTTTAATAAAAGAGAAGACAAACTTTATAATAACGCTCAGGAAAGATTCATTACTAAAGAACGGAATGGAAACTTAAACAAATCTCCTTTATTTACTTGTCAAATAAATTTTACCTTTTATAGCTATATCACGTCGAATTTTCCAAGTCACATGTAATACATTTCTAAGTATCAAAAATTCATTCCATGAACTTTATCTCTATCATTCTCCACCGATTCATGGATAACTTTCGCAGGATTTCCCTTCTNTTTCCATCAATATTTTTATTAATGAATTCTTCCACGTACTCCTCCAGGTCATTGGCAATTAACCATGAATACACCTAGACAGCAAAGGGAAGGGAGAGTTAAACCAATAAATGCCTGGACTCAAATGCTTGTGACATTCACTGTTTGTAGTTTTGTAAGAACTGGGACAAGTTTGTGGTGGAAAGCACAGTGGAACCCTGCGTTATGGCCACCCTGCTAATACGGCCACCTTGTAATTACGGCCACGTTATTCTGGTCAGAGCAAAAGCTCAGTCAGTCATTTTCTTATTTAAAAAAACCCCTTTAATATAACCACCCTGTTAATACCGCCAGATTTTTGTGGCCCGTTGGTGACCGGATTAAGAGGGTTCCACTGTATGTTAAATAATTATAATCACTGGTTTGTGTGATAGACTGCTTCATTGTCTTTCTGTCTGTCTGTCTGTCTGGCTGTCTGTCTGTCAGAAATCACTGTCTGTCTGTCTGTCTCTTATTGCCTGTCCATCTGTCAGTCTGCCAGTCTATCAGTCTGTCTGTCAGTCTGTCTGTCCGTCTGTCCATCTGTCATGCTGTCATGTTGTCAGTCTGCCAGTCCAAGTCTGTCCGTCTGTCAGTCAGTGAGTCAGTCAGTCTGTCAGTCTGTCAGTCTGTCGGTCTGTCGGTCTGTCGGTCTGTCGGTCTGTCGGTCTGTCTGTTGGCCAGTTAGTCATGTGGTTGGTTTGTCTTTCTGTCACCCACCTGGTCTGTGTCCCAGTCTGAGATCAGTTGAACTGCTCCAGGAGACTGCATGTCTGACAAGGGACTAGTGACTGGTGACTGTCCATCAACATTTGACACTAAACCTGGAGAGCTCCTTGCCGAGTCTGTTTGTCCACTAGCGGCAAGTAATTCAGGTGGGACATCAATAGCAGCTTCATTGTATGACTCCATTACTGGAACACTCTTCATTTGTAACAGAGGCATGGCTGGAGGGAGGAATGGGGAGGAGCCACGAGAGGAAGCCTGGGATGAGGCTAGGTCTGAGTCAATCTGAGAAAGAGTGAAATAAATAAATTATGATTCTCATGGACTTTAAAAGAACATGTACAGTGCAATACAGTCTAGACAGCAACAGCATGAGAATTTGATGGTGTGGTACCAAGACTGTTCAGGATACCTCTGATAGGACTGTGCTGCAAGCAACATTTGGATTCAGCTAACGAGTCCATGTCCTTGTTGCCAACCAACTCAGGCCAGGTGATGTTTCATTTGGGAGGTTACAACTGTGCAATTTGTCATGTGCAACTGACTGCATGAAGGTATGTGCAAACAGAACAATAAATATATTGCAACGTCAAAAATGAATCATGACGTGATCTGAATTGGGTGGTAACAAGGATGTGAACACAATAGCTGAATATCTCTATTGAAAATAACACTTCCTTACCCTTCTTGTGGCCTCTTCAATCTCATCCAAAGAGTTTGTGGATCCTGAGAAACACTCAGAATCCTCCTCATCTACAGGCTCAGGCGTCTCTCTGTCCATCCTATCAAGTGCCGTAGTCGGCATAGATGATACTTTGATGTCAGCCTTTGACAACTGCTTCTCCAGAAGATTCTCTACCACAATGTTACGTGTCTCCTCCTTGTGGGACAGAGGGAAGCTTGCCCGGATCTCCTCAGGAGGTGAATCGCTGCCCTTGCTTGCTGATTCGTCATACAGGTTTTTCCCTGTGGAGCGAAGTTTGAAACCTCCAACTGGAAAAGATGGAAGAACGAGCCCTGGACCTTTTGGAGGGCCTCTGTGCCCCTCATTTTCTGAGGTATTCTTCTTTGAGGATACCTCCTCTTCATCTTCATCAGATAACTCATGATCTCCAAACATCTAAAGAGAAAACATGATGGAAAATCAATTACTCCCAGTGAAGTACTACACAAGTAATATAGTTTCTGCATACTCTCAGTGTAGGTTTGGCTCAGAGTAAGAGAATCAAGCTCCACATTCATTATATAAACTAGTGACTTAATTCCAGCAGTCATGCATCTTACATCATTGTCATCATCCAGAGATTTTGCCCAGCTTGCACGAGTTGGCTTATGTTTCTTTTGTTGTGCTTCAGCGAGTCTTTTCTTTTCCAGAAGATAATCATTGCTAAGTGTCTTAGTCTCTGGGACACAGTTAAGATCCACACCATCCTGAGACTTGCTCTCTGTTACAGGCTCTGATGAAAAGAGAAACAAGAAAGTTATTCACTGGAGAAATAAGACCAGTGTCACTCTTGAAAAGCACCAAGTTACCTATTGCATCTTCTTTTCTTTGTGAATCCCAAGTAAGTTGGAAATTTGATAGTGCTTTCTCCACTTCAGATACGAGTCCATTCTCAATTACTTGCTCTTGGACTTCTTCTCTCTCTTTACCAGCTGACAATGTTTTTTGTTCCTCTTTCCTAAATACAATGGTTGAGATGTGCTCTTCCTTCTGTTTTGATTCTTTCTCTGAAGTTGCTTGTTGAAGTTTTTTTTCCAGCTCTTTGACCTTGAATGGAAAACAAATGAGCTATGTCTTTAATTCTCAAACTTATTCACAATTCAAATTCAAAGGAAACTGATGTAAAATGAAAATCTTCGATAGTAGAGTTTGTCATGCTGCACATTAACTTTTGCTTCAAATGCCTTGGTAGATATAGGTTCTGTGTCCAAAATAATTTATTAATAATTATTAAAATAATTATAACTTATTATTCAATAATAACAATTATTAATTTTTAGTGAAAAGCATACATTATGTTTGTTGGATGTATCTGGTGAACAGAAGCANCATGTGATAACACTTACAGGTTTTGGGATGTTTTTTTGTAGCTGAACCATTTTCTCAGCCAGTGAAGCTCTATTCTCTGCTTCTTCTGCTTTTGTTTCTGCCTGTAAATAAAAAAAAATGAATAATAATGTCAAATACAATAATATTACAATAGTACTTGAATGCCTATAATCCAGAGCCAGGAGAGGGAGAGTGAAGGGACAAAGAGAACTTGTTATGTGGCACTGAAGAGATGCTTCCCTTGCAGGCTTCCACACCTGTAAGGGTGTCCTGTTTCAGATTCTCACAGTTGCTACAAATTATGGCTCCTCGATTTTCCACAAGTTACATGTATGTTTTCAAAGTCACTCACTAGTAATCAAAAACCAGTATCAACTGAAGAAATGATTTTTGACTCTACAGCTTTTTTAGCAGTTTTTCAAATTTTGATGAGCATCCTCAGTAGATAGTTTTACAAGGGAGTCCTTTAACCCACAGGCAGGAAATACATTTTTATTAGGGTGCGAACATTAAGTTACATGTATAGCCCACCTCAATCAACTTTTGTTTAAGATCTTCAAGCTGCTGTTCCAGATTTGGGTCAATTCTGTGTGATACATGTAAGTGAGCTCGGCTCTTGTCTCTGCCCATAAGAAACCTGCAGTATACAGACGTGCAGAAAAAAAGAAAATACAGTTTATTTGGTTGATCACATTCTGTTGACCCTCCATCTGATTGCCACGCTGGGGCAGCATTAATTGGCCATCATATAGAGTGGTGTCAAAAAAGAGTAAACATGCATGGAATGGTGCCTGGTAAGGACAAAGCAATATATTTACCTTTACTTATTAATTAGCATATAACCACTTATCAGTTTCTGACCGTGCTAAAAACAAATATCAATTCAGCATATTAAAAGAGTATGGCATGATTACATGTAGTAAGTACTTTCAGCCCAACACTTTTAGCATGACACAGGTTGAACAAGCTTGACTCAAAATTTTACAAGGAATGGCTGTGTGGGCTCATAAGCAAAATAAGGGCCTTAATCACCCAGAACTTTTTTAGTTCATTAAATTCAATGCTGAAGGACCTCAATATTATACCCAAAGAGCTAAAATGTAAACGTGTCATCAATTACTAAGTTTGCCATTGAGGCACTCCACATGATTTTTTAAATGGTTGTCTTTAAGTTAGTTTTTCTCATTTCTGGCATGAATTCATGTTTAATGCATGTAAATAAAATTAATCTTGTCCACCATTTCAGAATGTATTAGGACTTGTTGTTATCAAATGACTGACTGGCTCATCCTTAATAAAACTCTTTGTATTGAAGGGCTCACATTAGTTCAGGCAGAATTAAGTGAGTTGCAAATTTATTTAACTTGCAAAGCGGTTCAGATAAACCATTGGCTATCACTGTAGATGAAAACTTCATTTGTACATGTGTACATTGTACAACCAAAAACAGTTCTAGTGTTGTTGAACACACTTGGTCATTTACCATTTATTCACAAAAACCCAATTTATCCAAAGAGACTAGCACTAGTTCGACCAGATCATTATTCCAAGAAACTGCAAATGGTCAGCACACTTCCACTCAGATAATTATTTCTGTTGTAAATTTTGGGCTACCTATCAAGATGTTCCATTTATCTCAAAAATTTTCTAGTCGGCCAAGCCAAAATTGTCAGTTATTGCTTACGTTCTGATCGAAATTTCCAAAATCATGGTAAACAACCAAAGTCTGTTCCACCTATGTAACAAAATGCCACTTGTACATGTACTGCACATTGATGAAAACTCAGAGTTCCCTTACCTTACTATCCCACTGGTATTCTTTAAAGTCTGTGCAGCAAACTGCTGTGTTACTCCAACAAGAGAAATTCCATCCACCTCAATAATCTGATCATTCACCTGTATTCTGTAATTAAATGATTGACAATGATCACTACATGCACAGTACTTCCTGCACTGTAGCTAGTTTAACAAGAAACGTTGGCCACCCGAAAAATTAGTCTTTCCTTGATTACTGTACCTTCAATGTCTTGATCGACATAAAAAAGCATTCAGCCTTTCACAACTTACTATTCATTCTAAATTCACTACCTTCTAGCCCTGCTACCCAAAATCATAATGAAGCTCCTGTACTCTGCAGCAAATGAAAATGTTTTCCATGTCAGCAAGCAGGGAAATATTTAGTCTCTCTGCAGCTGTTTTTGAGATCTTGCACAATGCTTCCCGAGCCACATTCCTTTCCCAGAAATACAGAGCTTGATGTTGGGACTGCTAGGGTTGCCAATGCAACCACATTTTTTTCACTGGCGACTTACTTTCCACGCTTTTCACTGAAATACTTTTGCTGGCAACTAAATCTGCAAACTTAGGGGCCACCTGGCTCCAAGGTTTTTTTCCTGAAAGTCGAGCCCTGATATATTTTGAAAATCTTTGAAATTTATAAATCAACAATCTTTCATTGCTTCACACTGTGACCTTAATGGGTAGAGTGCTGGACTCTTTTAGACTAACCTTCCATCCAATGCCGCTGCCCCACCCTCTGTGAGTGACTTGACAAAAATCCCCAGCTTCTCCACCCCTGTGTCTGTACCAACACCAAGGCCTATGATGCTCAACCCCAGCCCTCTCTCATCTGAAGGAAAACCAAAACAATATCAAATGAAGCCTCACATTAAAACCGCTCCTAATACCATTATTATATGACATGTACATGTTCAGTCCTTCTCAAGATGCTTGTTTGCTTTTTAAAAACAAAAGTCCAAATGTTTTAAGTCAATATAACAGGAGGAGAGCAGGAAAAAAAAATTGATATCCTGTTGCCCAGTGGATATCAAATTAAGTCACCCTTGGCAAAATGAACTGCATTGAAGAGACACTTTCATGACCTTTCAGAAAATGTGTAAATGTCTACAGTTTAGGCCAAAATATCGCATTTGAAGTTTCTTTTAGTAGACAAGCATTTTCAGTTATAACAGTGTGGCACACAATGGTCTGCCACTCAAGGGGTTAAGTACACTATGGTCCTTGTATTTAAATTGGTCAAGTGCAAACACAGCATAAGACGTTAACAGCTGTACACACTTCATTTAAAATTAAACATCTTACCTTTTCCTAGGTCTACAGAAAAAATGTCCATCTTTTCAATTCTTTTCTCTAGCTCCCATTCAGCCGATGCAGTAACAGGATCAATGTTATCGTTAGCTCTGTCATATTCTTCAGCACTGTATGTTGGAAACATTTTGTTGGTGTCCACAGCAAATCCAACTGATCTTTTCCCCTTTTTCTCCTTTTCTTTAGCTGCTAAAGCTGATGTTAATGGCTTGGCTGTAAACAGCAGTGACACAGGAGACACTGCTTGGGTGTGAGCACAATCTTCATCTACATCGCTGTGTTCCACAACACTACCAGTACTCTCATCACCTGAGCTTTCAGTTTCTTCATTACGTGAGGGGGTTTCTTCACTTTTACGATCATGGAAGTAAACACTGTCATGCTTTGGGTGAGAAAGAGCTTCTTGCATTTTATTCTCTTCCTGAGGTTTTGAATCAGGTCGTGCCGTGAAATCATATTGAGCGTTAGGTACCGATTCTAGCTGCGCAGATTCTTCTTGTGGAATCTCTTCATCTTTCCAAGATGCTTCGCGTACCCTTCCAGGGGTTTCATCAAAGAAGTCGTCTTTGGGTACCTCCTTTCGTTGAAACCTCAGTCCTGTCTTAACACTGGGAGATTCATCCTGATTAACAGACTTCACAGCTGTTTTAGCTTGATCATCCTCAGGAGACAGAGGTAATTTTTCTTCTTTTTGATTATTTGTGGATGAAAGTGGTTGACTGGTTAAACTTTCAACATTTTTCTCTGACTCTTTATCAGGTGTTAGCAATGAGCCCTGTATCATGTGATCAACGCTATGTGACTTAAAAAGGCGCCTGCTGTAAGCTGGTGGATTGTGCAAAACCGAGTCATCGTGAGAGCGGCCCAGCTTGTCAACTGTTCCATGATACTCTCCATTCATGGCTTTAGTATCAGAAAGATAGCGTTTGCGTGATTTTATGAAGTACATGGGCCGCTTCGTGCCTGGATCAGATCGTGTGCGAGATCTTGGTGAAGAAAACTGTTCATTTTTGCCTAGCGAGTTGATGTCCAGATCTTTCAAATCTGGGACAAGATCAAGCAAACTTGGCGATCTCTTTTCCTTCCGTGACACATCTTCATTTGAGCCGCCACTTTCAAACATTGCTCTTCTTGCTGCAATACCCTGAGACACATGTGGCTTGTGATTAGGGGTGGGAGGTAAAGTTTTCTTGTAATAATTAGGCAAGGACCAGGGTCTTCCTGGTGACTCAGCTTGAGTTGCCTCATTACCATGATCCAACTTCAAGCGATCAATGGCTTCTGAAATAGGTCTGGGCTTTCTGAAATTCTGTTGTGCCTTGATTGTCTCATTTGCAATTGTCTCGTCAAAAATGTGTTTCAACTTGCTAACATTCGGTTTGCTTTCCTCTTCTGTATTGCTCTTACTGTTATCAATCGCAGGTTCGCTCTCCGCTGCGGGTTTTCGCGGGACGCGAGGTTTCTCTTCGCGGGTCTTACGTGCAACATTGTCGCTTTTCAGGGGAGAGATAAAAGCTTTATCAGCCGAAATTACCTTCTTAGGAGGAGCGCCAAATTTGTTGTACGCTTTGTGTTTCTCCTCCTTAATGTCTCCAGTGCCTGGACTGCCTGTTGTCCGTTTTGTTTTAGTGTCAATAATATTTTTGCGAGTAACTATTGTTGAGCTTTGACTCTTAGTGTTTTCACTATCACCTTTCGTGCGACTTTGCACCTCTTTTCGAGCTCGAAATCTGTTCTCTTTGCCGTATTCGGTTCTTGTGGCCATCGCAGAGAGGCTGTTTCCGGATTCTTTATAAGCTTCTTTCGCCAGAAAGCGTCAAATTTGTAGTGTTCGCTGCTTAAATGTACAAACTCAAAGCATTGTGTTCGTAAAACACCGACAGAAGACTCCTAAAGACTAATGACAATTCAACAAAACGCACTAACGGCTCAGGTCTTAACCTACCGTTCTAGTTTTCCTAAATCGCAGAAACGTTCGAGGAAGCTGGTACAATATTCGTCCTTGAATTCACGCCATTACAAGTTCTATATACCAACAAAAAATGGCCGCCAAATTAGCTCAGTAAAGTCCATGCCAAGAGTAATCGTTGTCGTTTCAAATTGCCATGCTTGTGTAGACTCGGCTCAAGAACAAAAAGGCAAGTCTGAAATGGTAAACTTGCCAAAACTGCCTTGACACTCGTCGCCGACAACCAACTTCTACCTCGCAGGAAGCGAAGTTTTTTTCGTAAACGATGGAAGTATTCGGCCGTGACAAAATCGATCACGTGATCTAGAATAAATATAGCAGGAAGTTGGAGTGAAGCGGGTTATGAAAGTGAATGTAAATGACTTGGAATTTAAATTCCTCGGGAAAAATATTTGCTCAAGTTTCAGAAACTAGTCAGAAATAATCGATGATGCACAAACAAACTCGGCATATCTTTAAGGGGCTGGTTGTCCAAGCGTATAATTAATCTTCTCGTACATTAGCATAAGAGCACGAAACTTGCCAAATGCAATTTCGGCAACAAATGTTAATTGACCGAGGCAGGCATTGTATACAAACACAATAAGTTCTGAACTTCATTTTAAATGGTTCTATAGCCTTGTAACCCGCTAAGGCCAGACAATTAGAGCGGAACAAGGAAAAAGAAGGAGATTTAAAATGTTTGCAAACACATGATGTTTTACAACGGATTAGTATCAATTTGCATATAGAATAGCTTGGCCCGTTTTACTACATGTTTCAGGTAAAATCAAAACAGGTGTTAAAGATTATATAAAAAGGAAATTGACCATTTGTGCATTATTATTTAATGCTTGGTNAAGAGAATCAAGCTCCACATTCATTATATAAACTAGTGACTTAATTCCAACAGTCATGCATCTTACATCATTGTCATCATCCAGAGATTTTGCCCAGCTTGCACGAGTTGGCTTATGTTTCTTTTGCTGTGCTTCAGCGAGTCTTTTCTTTTCCAGAAGATAATCATTGCTAAGTGTCTTAGTCTCTGGGACACAGTTAAGATCCACACCATCCTGAGACTTGCTCTCTGTTACAGGCTCTGATGAAAAGAGAAACAAGAAAGTTATTCACTGGAGAAATAAGACCAGTGTCACTCTTGAAAAGCACCAAGTTACCTATTGCATCTTCTTTTCTTTGTGAATCCCAAGTAAGTTGGAAATTTGATAGTGCTTTCTCCACTTCAGATACGAGTCCATTCTCAATTACTTGCTCTTGGACTTCTTCTCTCTCTTTACCAGCTGACAATGTTTTTTGTTCCTCTTTCCTAAATACAATGGTTGAGATGTGCTCTTCCTTCTGTTTTGATTCTTTCTCTGAAGTTGCTTGTTGAAGTTTTTTTTCCAGCTCTTTGACCTTGAATGGAAAACAAATGAGCTATGTCTTTAATTCTCAAACTTATTCACAATTCAAATTCAAAGGAAACTGATGTAAAATGAAAATCTTCGATAGTAGAGTTTGTCATGCTGCACATTAACTTTTGCTTCAAATGCCTTGGTAGATATAGGTTCTGTGTCCAAAATAATTTATTAATAATTATTAAAATAATTATAACTTATTATTCAATAATAACAATTATTAATTTTTAGTGAAAAGCATACATTATGTTTGTTGGATGTATCTGGTGAACAGAAGCAGGTTCCAGGTAAGTTCTATGGCCAAGGTATCATTAGAGAATTCAAGTGCCTCAAGAAATACCAAAATGAGCCTCACCAAATTGATCATCAGAATTTTTGTATTAATTTGGCAGATCAGACATCCCCTTCTTATCTGGAATACTTCAACTTCCCAACCTTCAAAGGAACTTTTGAACAGGGACAATACTGACAAAAAATATGAATAAGTACAAACCTTATCTTGCAATAACTTAATATCAACAGCGTATCTCTCAGCAGCTACAGCATTTACTTGTTCCCTTTAACAAGAATAATTTATTAACAACAAATTACACTGTATGCAACAATGCCAAAGAAACATATTTTAACATTCAGAAATAAGATATCACAATGAAGTGTTTTTCACAAACTGACCACAATAATAAAGATGGTTCTACATGCAGATGACCAAATGTAAGAACAATACCTACATGAACAGCAAAACTGACTTCAAAATTTAAATGTCTTGAGCTATTACTGAACCAGCAAATGGTGGACGGATGGCCACAGATCCATCGTCACTGACACAGATGCATGGCAAGGTGGACATACACTGTACATGCAAATTGATGAGCCAATGTACAGATGCATGTATGAAAAATCTGATGGGCAAACGGCTGTCTGTCCATATATGCATTTGTACAAGTACGCGTATAGCAGGGGCAAAACCAGTTGCAAAACACACTGTAGAGATTCGATGCATGTGTACATGTTAAACTGGTTGGACATTTTGTACCATACCATACAGGGCTGTTTATAAGTGCGCCTTAACCTGTAACACCTGTTCTGGCTGAGTATGATTAACGGGCGATCTAGTGTGCTACTGGTGAATTAGCTTGTTGTTGATACAGTTCACCCATAAAGTAACATTAGTTTGTAATGGTGTGATCATAAGATAAAGGCGACAAGTGAATCAAAACTTAATGGTACTAGGCCTGCCATCTGCCATAGAGTAATAGAGGCTTACCTGTCTTCCAGTTCCTTCAGCTTATTCTTGGTAATGTGATATTTCTTCTCCAAGATCAGGTACAACCCTTTGCTTTCCTCCAGTTGCCGCACCATATCATCATTCTCTGCTTCAGACACAGCTAGGTCTGACTCTAACATGTTAACCTTGTCGGTCATTTCAGCCAAAGCTTTCTGTGCCTTCTTGACTTCATCACTGGTTTGTTCAACAACCGGTTCCTGATAATCACGTAAGAAACATAAGAAATAACAAAGATAAGTTAATTATTATTATTATTACTTATTAAGAAACCTCTCTTATTAATGATCTGAACATTGTGTATGTACACGGTCCCCTCAGAGGATTTTCAACATAAACCAAATGAAAGCACTTTCTCCTGATTAATCTTAACGTCCATAACTCTCTTTGCAAGAAATGTTTGCCAAACCCAGCTTCAATATCCTTATATATGGGAATTACATGTAATAATATAATGTGTTGTATAGTAGTTAAAATTGAAATTCAGGTTAAAATGATTTTAACCTAACATGATTCCCAATTTCCTTTGTCTTCTAACCCTAATTATTCATGATCCATGACTAATATAAGGGTTAAGAGACAAAGGAATCTCATTTTACCCTGAATATAATTTTGACCTACGATATGTGTACAACATATGTATATTAACTAAACATGCCAAATCATAGCATTGGGTGTTCCAGAAAATATCTATACTCACTGCAAAGTGTCATTGGAAATTCCAAGGGTGCACAGTACTTCCTGCACTGTAGCTAGTTTAACAAGAAACGTTGGCCACCCGAAAAATTAGTCTTTCCTTGATTACTGTACCTTCAATGTCTTGATCGACATAAAAAAGCATTCAGCCTTTCACAACTTACTATTCATTCTAAATTCACTACCTTCTAGCCCTGCTACCCAAAATCATAATGAAGCTCCTGTACTCTGCAGCAAATGAAAATGTTTTCCATGTCAGCAAGCAGGGAAATATTTAGTCTCTCTGCAGCTGTTTTTGAGATCTTGCACAATGCTTCCCGAGCCACATTCCTTTCCCAGAAATACAGAGCTTGATGTTGGGACTGCTAGGGTTGCCAATGCAACCACATTTTTTTCACTGGCGACTTACTTTCCACGCTTTTCACTGAAATACTTTTGCTGGCAACTAAATCTGCAAACTTAGGGGCCACCTGGCTCCAAGGTTTTTTTCCTGAAAGTCGAGCCCTGATATATTTTGAAAATCTTTGAAATTTATAAATCAACAATCTTTCATTGCTTCACACTGTGACCTTAATGGGTAGAGTGCTGGACTCTTTTAGACTAACCTTCCATCCAATGCCGCTGCCCCACCCTCTGTGAGTGACTTGACAAAAATCCCCAGCTTCTCCACCCCTGTGTCTGTACCAACACCAAGGCCTATGATGCTCAACCCCAGCCCTCTCTCATCTGAAGGAAAACCAAAACAATATCAAATGAAGCCTCACATTAAAACCGCTCCTAATACCATTATTATATGACATGTACATGTTCAGTCCTTCTCAAGATGCTTGTTTGCTTTTTAAAAACAAAAGTCCAAATGTTTTAAGTCAATATAACAGGAGGAGAGCAGGAAAAAAAATTGATATCCTGTTGCCCAGTGGATATCAAATTAAGTCACCCTTGGCAAAATGAACTGCATTGAAGAGACACTTTCATGACCTTTCAGAAAATGTGTAAATGTCTACAGTTTAGGCCAAAATATCGCATTTGAAGTTTCTTTTAGTAGACAAGCATTTTCAGTTATAACAGTGTGGCACACAATGGTCTGCCACTCAAGGGGTTAAGTACACTATGGTCCTTGTATTTAAATTGGTCAAGTGCAAACACAGCATAAGACGTTAACAGCTGTACACACTTCATTTAAAATTAAACATCTTACCTTTTCCTAGGTCTACAGAAAAAATGTCCATCTTTTCAATTCTTTTCTCTAGCTCCCATTCAGCCGATGCAGTAACAGGATCAATGTTATCGTTAGCTCTGTCATATTCTTCAGCACTGTATGTTGGAAACATTTTGTTGGTGTCCACAGCAAATCCAACTGATCTTTTCCCCTTTTTCTCCTTTTCTTTAGCTGCTAAAGCTGATGTTAATGGCTTGGCTGTAAACAGCAGTGACACAGGAGACACTGCTTGGGTGTGAGCACAATCTTCATCTACATCGCTGTGTTCCACAACACTACCAGTACTCTCATCACCTGAGCTTTCAGTTTCTTCATTACGTGAGGGGGTTTCTTCACTTTTACGATCATGGAAGTAAACACTGTCATGCTTTGGGTGAGAAAGAGCTTCTTGCATTTTATTCTCTTCCTGAGGTTTTGAATCAGGTCGTGCCGTGAAATCATATTGAGCGTTAGGTACCGATTCTAGCTGCGCAGATTCTTCTTGTGGAATCTCTTCATCTTTCCAAGATGCTTCGCGTACCCTTCCAGGGGTTTCATCAAAGAAGTCGTCTTTGGGTACCTCCTTTCGTTGAAACCTCAGTCCTGTCTTAACACTGGGAGATTCATCCTGATTAACAGACTTCACAGCTGTTTTAGCTTGATCATCCTCAGGAGACAGAGGTAATTTTTCTTCTTTTTGATTATTTGTGGATGAAAGTGGTTGACTGGTTAAACTTTCAACATTTTTCTCTGACTCTTTATCAGGTGTTAGCAATGAGCCCTGTATCATGTGATCAACGCTATGTGACTTAAAAAGGCGCCTGCTGTAAGCTGGTGGATTGTGCAAAACCGAGTCATCGTGAGAGCGGCCCAGCTTGTCAACTGTTCCATGATACTCTCCATTCATGGCTTTAGTATCAGAAAGATAGCGTTTGCGTGATTTTATGAAGTACATGGGCCGCTTCGTGCCTGGATCAGATCGTGTGCGAGATCTTGGTGAAGAAAACTGTTCATTTTTGCCTAGCGAGTTGATGTCCAGATCTTTCAAATCTGGGACAAGATCAAGCAAACTTGGCGATCTCTTTTCCTTCCGTGACACATCTTCATTTGAGCCGCCACTTTCAAACATTGCTCTTCTTGCTGCAATACCCTGAGACACATGTGGCTTGTGATTAGGGGTGGGAGGTAAAGTTTTCTTGTAATAATTAGGCAAGGACCAGGGTCTTCCTGGTGACTCAGCTTGAGTTGCCTCATTACCATGATCCAACTTCAAGCGATCAATGGCTTCTGAAATAGGTCTGGGCTTTCTGAAATTCTGTTGTGCCTTGATTGTCTCATTTGCAATTGTCTCGTCAAAAATGTGTTTCAACTTGCTAACATTCGGTTTGCTTTCCTCTTCTGTATTGCTCTTACTGTTATCAATCGCCGGTTCGCTCTCCGCTGCGGGTTTTCGCGGGACGCGAGGTTTCTCTTCGCGGGTCTTACGTGCAACATTGTCGCTTTTCAGGGGAGAGATAAAAGCTTTATCAGCCGAAATTACCTTCTTAGGAGGAGCGCCAAATTTGTTGTACGCTTTGTGTTTCTCCTCCTTAATGTCTCCAGTGCCTGGACTGCCTGTTGTCCGTTTTGTTTTAGTGTCAATAATATTTTTGCGAGTAACTATTGTTGAGCTTTGACTCTTAGTGTTTTCACTATCACCTTTCGTGCGACTTTGCACCTCTTTTCGAGCTCGAAATCTGTTCTCTTTGCCGTATTCGGTTCTTGTGGCCATCGCAGAGAGGCTGTTTCCGGATTCTTTATAAGCTTCTTTCGCCAGAAAGCGTCAAATTTGTAGTGTTCGCTGCTTAAATGTACAAACTCAAAGCATTGTGTTCGTAAAACACCGACAGAAGACTCCTAAAGACTAATGACAATTCAACAAAACGCACTAACGGCTCAGGTCTTAACCTACCGTTCTAGTTTTCCTAAATCGCAGAAACGTTCGAGGAAGCTGGTACAATATTCGTCCTTGAATTCACGCCATTACAAGTTCTATATACCAACAAAAAATGGCCGCCAAATTAGCTCAGTAAAGTCCATGCCAAGAGTAATCGTTGTCGTTTCAAATTGCCATGCTTGTGTAGACTCGGCTCAAGAACAAAAAGGCAAGTCTGAAATGGTAAACTTGCCAAAACTGCCTTGACACTCGTCGCCGACAACCAACTTCTACCTCGCAGGAAGCGAAGTTTTTTTCGTAAACGATGGAAGTATTCGGCCGTGACAAAATCGATCACGTGATCTAGAATAAATATAGCAGGAAGTTGGAGTGAAGCGGGTTATGAAAGTGAATGTAAATGACTTGGAATTTAAATTCCTCGGGAAAAATATTTGCTCAAGTTTCAGAAACTAGTCAGAAATAATCGATGATGCACAAACAAACTCGGCATATCTTTAAGGGGCTGGTTGTCCAAGCGTATAATTAATCTTCTCGTACATTAGCATAAGAGCACGAAACTTGCCAAATGCAATTTCGGCAACAAATGTTAATTGACCGAGGCAGGCATTGTATACAAACACAATAACTTCTGAACTTCATTTTAAATGGTTCTATAGCCTTGTAACCCGCTAAGGCCAGACAATTAGAGCGGAACAAGGAAAAAGAAGGAGATTTAAAATGTTTGCAAACACATGATGTTTTACAACGGATTAGTATCAATTTGCATATAGAATAGCTTGGCCCGTTTTACTACATGTTTCAGGTAAAATCAAAACAGGTGTTAAAGATTATATAAAAAGGAAATTGACCATTTGTGCATTATTATTTAATGCTTGGTTAGAAAAGAGTGAGAATATGAGATTTTTTGTGCTCTTCGCATTTTCATTGTGTTAGTTTTTCGCTTGAATTCTATCATTCAGTTGCGCTTAGAATTTGCAGAAATCTTGTCCAAACAGGGTATCCATGTTAAAAATGTAAATAAAGAAATAACTTTAAAATAAAGTGTATCATAATAAACAAAAAAA